GGCAAGGGTGGGGGGGTGGGGGAGGCCGGAGCTCGCCCGGAGCAGCCACGATGCTCCTGGACGCCGGCCCCCAGTACCCCGCGATCGGCGTGACCACCTTTGGCACGTCCCGCCACCACTCCGCGGGCGACGTGTCCGAACGCGACGTTGGCCTGGGCATCAACCCGTTCGCCGACGGCATGGGAGCCTTCAAGCTCAACCCCAGCTCGCACGAGCTGGCCTCCGCGGGCCAGACAGCCTTCACGTCTCAGGCTCCTGGCTATGCGGCTGCTGCGGCCCTTGGCCATCACCACCACCCGGGCCACGTCGGCTCCTATTCCAGCGCAGCCTTCAACTCCACTCGGGACTTTCTGTTCCGAAACCGGGGCTTTGGAGACGCGGCGGCGGCAGCCAGCGCTCAGCACAGCCTCTTCGCTGCTTCGGCAGGGGGTTTCGGGGGCCCACACGGCCACACGGACGCTGCGGGCCACCTCCTCTTCCCTGGCCTTCACGAGCAGGCGGCGGGCCACGCATCGCCCAATGTGGTCAACGGGCAGATGAGGCTTGGCTTCTCGGGGGACATGTACCCGCGACCCGAGCAGTACGGCCAGGTGACAAGCCCACGTTCGGAGCACTATGCCGCGCCTCAGCTTCATGGCTACGGACCCATGAACGTGAACATGGCCGCGCATCACGGTGCTGGAGCCTTCTTCCGCTACATGCGCCAACCCATCAAGCAGGAGCTTATCTGCAAGTGGATTGAGCCAGAGCAGCTGGCCAACCCCAAAAAGTCGTGCAACAAAACTTTCAGCACCATGCATGAGTTGGTTACGCACGTCACCGTGGAGCACGTCGGCGGACCTGAGCAGAGTAACCACATCTGCTTCTGGGAGGAGTGTCCGCGCGAGGGCAAGCCCTTCAAAGCCAAATACAAACTGGTCAACCACATCCGCGTGCACACGGGAGAGAAGCCCTTCCCCTGCCCCTTCCCTGGCTGCGGCAAGGTGTTCGCGCGTTCTGAAAACTTAAAGATCCACAAAAGAACACACACAGGTATGGAAACCTCTTTCTTTGACCCACCCACTGTCCCCCACTCCCGATTCATCCTGGGCCTGGGACCGGAAATCCAAATTTCATCGGCCAGGCACAAACTGGGCCTTGGTTGAGTGTGGGCGTCAGGTTCCAGCAGACAGGCAGCAAAAGTGTACGCTGGTTTTTGGTTTCAGGTTTAGAATTATGAAAAAAGTATAAGACGATCAGATGGGAAGGATCCTAGGATATAGATTTAAAAATGAAGAATAAAAAAGGCCGGGAGAGCATAGAGACAAACCTGGTTTTGAAAAGCTGAGGTGCGCGTGAAGCAGATAGAGGTGGCGGAAATTCCAGCTGCTCTAGCAGCAGACAATCTAAGTCTAAATGTTTGCTTCCCGCCGACATCCTTCTCTAGGCACCTTAGTGAGGACTTTCCCAAAGGATGAAACTGATGAAATTGGAGGGTCAGATGAAGAAGCACAGAAAGAAATAAAAACAAAGACATAAAGGAGGGAGGGAGTGGTGAAAACAAGTAAGTCTGACCAGAAGAGGCTTTTTGGAGGTTGCTCATATTTAAAGAACAGGATTTTAGTAGTGACTTGTTTGTGAGTAAGCTTGAGGAATTGGAGAGTCAGTGGAAAGCAGAGAAGTATTTTTCCCCCCAGTCAATTAGATTCTATGAGGTGATTTTCAAAACACTGAATCCCCCTACATTGGCCTTTAAAATAGAGACTGTTTGGGAACAGTTAAAAGAAAAGTTGGTGGTGAGCTTATGGTTGTAGTATGGGTCAGGTAAGGCCATTCTGGGCCTCTTGCTCCAACAAAGCCGGGAATCCAGTCTGCTTCCTTATTTTTGTTTTCCCCGGTGATTTCTGAGAACTGCTTTTGGAATTTTGAGTTTATGGCCACAGCCAGGGAAGAATTTGTGGTGCCAAGCTCTCCACTCAGATTACCTTATAAAATGTGACTGCGTGTAGGGGGTGTGGTGGGGAAATGAAAAGGGGGTTGCAGAGCCTCAGGGAAAGGGTGGGGGGAAGAGATAGGAGCAAAACAGCAGGAGAATAAGCCCCCAAAGTGAAAATTAGAAACCTTGAGGCAGGTATTGCCTGCCATCTTAAGTTGTTTGTATAGCCCCAGGCAGAAAAACCTGCTACTGCTCTGGGATCCAAAAAGAAAAAATCTAATAGTAATAATAATAATAATAATAATAGCAACAACAATAAAATCTGGACCTAATTAGATTAATAGTTAAAATAATTAAAATATTTATAAATCCACTGCATATATGTGACTTCATTGAAGACCCGGGTTTTTGAACTTGCAACCTTTTTTATTTTTTCATTTGTTTACATTTAAAAATACAACCACAGAATTTGTTCTAATCAGACCTTTCTCTTTATTGCCCCTACCACTAGGGGAGAAGCCCTTCAAATGCGAGTTCGAGGGCTGCGACAGACGCTTTGCGAATAGCAGCGACCGCAAGAAGCACATGCATGTGCACACGAGCGACAAGCCCTATCTTTGCAAGATGTGCGACAAGTCCTACACGCACCCCAGCTCGCTGCGCAAACACATGAAGGTAATTGCCACGCTCCCGACTCCCGCCTTCGAGACGGGAGCCTGCTCTGCTCTTCGGCTGAGTCCTTGGCGAGTGGCAGCCGGGTGGTGGAAGGAGCTGGTGCAGGCTGTGTGAGACTGGATAGAGAGTGGAAAAGGGGGCGGGTGACCACCAAACTGTTATAAATTTATTTTTTTAATAAGAAAAGTAAAAAGGAATTTGGCCCAGATAAGGAGTGAGGACTATGCTAGCTGGGTTACGCTGACGAAGCTGCTGCAATTGGGGCTGGAAGCGTTTGCAGAAGAGTTGAGGTCTTGCAGGTAGACTTGAGCAAGCAAAGTTCAGCGGCGGTGCAGGGTGGGGGAAGAACTGCTGCTACCGGGCGTGGCAGGGGCAATCGAGCCCAAGTGCCCCTGGTGAGGCATCCCCAGAAGTCCAGTGAATGCTGGGCTCCCGGGAGAGGCAGCGGGCTGCCTTCACGGGTCCAATGCGGCTGTTGCTCCCGCTCTCTATCTCCTTAAAAACTCGACTTTATTTATTCCCGCAGGTCCACGAATCTTCCTCCCAGGGCTCACAGCCTTCGCCGGCCGCCAGCTCCGGCTACGAATCTTCCACGCCGCCCACCATCGTGTCTCCCTCCACAGACAACCCCACCACCAGTTCCCTGTCGCCCTCCTCCGCGGTCCACCACACAGCGGGTCACAGCGCGCTTTCTTCTAATTTTAATGAATGGTACGTTTAAAATCAGAAGCAAAACACCGATCAAAACCCTATTTAAGAGACTGAACACACACGTATGCAAAATATAACTGAAAGATACCTGCGAATCAACACAGCTATCCCACTCCGCAATTCTATTTTTTTGAACTTGCTTGTTGACCCAGGTCCGAGTAAGAGCGAGAGAAAGCACCAAACCTTTCGTTATCCGCCATCCCCCACGCCCGCCTTTTCTTTTTCTTTTTGGCAAAGGCTTGGTAGCGAAGGGGCTGGATTGGGGTCGAGG